TATATCTGACACACCTACCCCATTACCCCAGTCACTGAGTCAATCCATCTCATTGAGGGTCTTCCCTCTCCAATGACTGATCCCTCCTTGCAACATGCCCAAAGTACATCAGGAGGAGCTTCAGATTCCTTGCCTCCAAGGAGCAGCCTCGTCTCACTCTTTCCAGGACAAACCTCTGTTTTTCCTCTTAGCAGTCCATGGTAGTAGATTCAATACTTTTCTCCAGTACCATAGCACAAAGGCATCTATTCTCCTTCTATCATCCCTAGTTATTGTCCAGCTTTCTGATGCATAGCAAGTAATTGCAAAAACCATGGCCTGTATCAGGTGCTCCTTAGTCTCCACACTGACATCACTACTTTTCAGCATTCTGGAGAGTTCCCTGACAGAAGATTTTCCCAATGCAATTCGTCTTTTAATTTCCTGGACATGGAGCCAACTAAAGATGCTTACAACCTCAATTTCTTCACCGTCCATCCTGATGCTGCCAATTGGCCGAGTGGTGAGAATTTTAGTCTCCTGATGTTAAGTTTCAATTCATATTGAAGGCTGCAGTTCTTGACCCTCTGCAGCAAGTGTTTCAGGTCCTCCTCAGTTTCGGCAAGCAAGGTTGTGTCATTTGCATAACACAGGTTGTTGATGAGTCTTCTTCCAATCCTTATGTCACATTCCTCTTCATAGAGCCCAACCTCCTGGATGATCTGCTCCGAATATAGATTGAAAAGGTATGGTGATAGATCCGTGACATACACCCTTCCTGATTTTAAACCATGCAGTGTTTCCTTGGTCTGTTCTGATGACTGCCTGCTGGTGCAACGACAGGTTTTGCATAAGTACAATCAAGTATTCTGGAATTCCAATTCTTCTCAGAGTTAGACACAATTTATTATGATCTACACTGTCAGATTCCTTTACATTCAATAAAACACAGACATTCCTCTGGTACTCTCCACTTTCAGCCAAGAGCCATCTTATATTAAATATAGTATCTCTAGTACCATGACCTCTTCTAAACCCAGCCTGCATACCTGGCAGTTCTCTGTTGATATGCTCTTCCAGTCATTTTTTGATCATTTTCATCAGGGTCTTGCTCGTCTGTGATATTAATGAAATTGTCTGATAATCTTCACACTCTGTTGAGTCACCTTTCTTTGTAATGGGAAGAAATATGGATCATTTCCAGTCAGTTGGCTAGGTAGTTGTCCTCCAGATTTCTTGGCACAATTTGGTGAGCGCATTCAGGGCAGCATCTGTTTGCTGAAATATGTCTGTCAGTTGGTCTGCCGTCAATTTCTGAGGCCTTGTTTTTTGCCAATTCCTTCAGAGTAGCTTGAACTTCTTCCTTCATCAACACAGGCTCTTGCTCATATGTTGTTTGATGACATTCTTCTGTCTGAGCTAATTCTTTTTAGTACAATGCCTCTGTATTCTATTTCCATCTTCTTTTAATGTTTCCTGGATCGTTTCATAGTCTGCCCAGAGCATCCTAAAGTATTGCAGCCCAGAGCTTGAATTTTTCATTCCGTTCCTTCAGCTTAAGAAATGTCAATGAGGGAGCTCTGGTGGCCTAGTGGCAAGAAACTACACTGCAAGTCAGAGGTGTGAGGTTCGAATCCACCAGATGCTCTGTTGGAAAAGGAGGGACAATCTCCTCCTGTACCAGTCAGATCTGATTTGATGGTACATACACAAAAAGTAATAAAATAAAATTTAAAAAAGGGGAAATGTTAATAGGCCTTATATACAAGGAATTTTTTAAAAAGTGAAATATAAGACCAGAAGCCATGAACATCAGACAAGTTCAAAAAGAGGTCTAAACATAGCCCTTAACCATATGAAAAGATGTTCAATATCACCAATAAGAAACTAAAGATAAAATATCAAAATACTACTTCTCACCCCATAGAATGACAAAAAATCAAAACCTTAACAATATAGTTTGCTGACAAGTCATGGGGAACACAAAACGGCACAGTCCTGGAGAGGGAATATGGCATATCCAGTGAGATTGCATGTGGATCTATCCATTACCAGGAAATTCTAAGTTTGAGTTTACTCAAAACCTACAAACCCATAAAACAAAAATACATATGCATGAGAACTTGCAGGCAGTTGGTGAAAATTTTGGTTTATGTGATGTTGAGACACAATCTATAGTGAAGACTGAAATCTTTATCATTTCAAGACTCTAGTCCTTGTAATTTCAAGTCCTTATAGTATCCATTTTTTGTAATTTCCAAATAATGGAAACTATCTAAATGTCCAAGCATAAGAGACTGGCTGAATCATAAATACACAAAGGCCTAATCAATGGTTAACAAAAAAGAATAAGGAACTTAGTGCAACACAGAAATGCATCATGACAGAGGGAAAAAAAAAGACATTAAATGGACACAACTGGTAAAACACAAATGAAATCTGTAATTTAGCTAATATTGTACCTTGCCTGAGAGTTGAAACTAATTGATGTTCTTGGGGGTTTTCAGAGACTAAATTGCACAGCTCATATCTGATGGCCTAATGATAAGGGGTTGTGTTGCCAACCCAAAGGAACGTGGTTCAAATCCACCACATGCTCTGGAAGAAAGATGGGTAATTTACTGCCTCTGAAAACCCACTGGAGAGTCAGCAATGGGCTGGTTCCAACTCAGTGGAACACAACAACATGGAGTCATGGAGGATGGATGGCTCCCTGACACTATTACCCTCAAATAATCTCAAACAATATACCAAAAATATCCGAAGTCTTCTTAAAACTGAGCAATAGTTTAGATTGACTAGAAAGAAAGGTGTGCCTTGAGCATCAGGCTCTTTTTTTGTGTGTGTGAGAAAAATTTCTATTTAGAATTAGTCCGCTGGACTCAGTTTAGATGATCCCAATTTTGTTGGCAACATCCAAAGCATCATAGTCAGGAGAAAGTCAAACATAGGCCTTCTTCTCTCCATCAGGCCTAATCAAAATGTTGACCTTATCCCCATCAATGTCATAGAGCTTCTTTACAGCTTGTTTGATTTGGTGCTTGTTGGCCTTGGCATCCACAATGAACACACGTGTGTTGTTATCTTCTTTTGTGTGTGTGTGTGTGTGTGTTGTTATCTTCTATCTTCTTCATAGCTGACTCAGTGGTCAGGGGAAACTTGATGACGGCAGAGTGGTCAAGCTTGTTTCTCCTGGGGGTGCTTTTACGGAAGTATATGGGCTGCCTTCGGAGTCTCAGCGTCTTAGGCCACTGGAAGGTGGGTGACGTGCGAATCTTCTTCTTTTTTTTTCTTTTTTTCTGTGCATGCCCTTCAGTACTGCCTTCTTGGCCTTTAATGTCTTTGCTTTGGCTTCAATTTTGGGAGGGGTAGGGGCTTCCTTCTTTGCTTTCAGTTCCATCTTCATAGAAAGGGAGCATCAGGCTCTTTTAAGAAATATTTCTGGGAGATCATAGAAGACTCTAGTGGCCCAGTCCATAGAGTTATGCTGCTAATCCAAAAGCCAGTCTCCTTCGGCAGTTTTAATCTACAGGCCTTTTCGGCAGGAGAAAAAGGGGTGGTCCCCTCCCATGTAATTCACAGCCTCAGAAACCCACTGAAACGTCAGACGTGATAGTAACATATCTATATCTAATGTATATCTATATCTAATCTATATCTATGAGAGAGATGATCAAATTGATAACAGTAACTTGAAAGATTAGACAGAAACCCTAAGGAGCATTGAGTTTATATTAACGGGGGGGGGGGGGGGGGGGAGAATAAGAAAACGAAGATGGTGGCACAAGCTGAAAGTAATTAACATCACTAAGTTGTACATGCAGAAACTGTTAAACAACAAAATCAAATCTAAAGAAAAAAGAGAGAGAAGAGTATTTAAAATACTTAAGGGAAATAAGCTATCAATTTGTTATTAATTTAAAGCTACTTTATCAATTTATTAAAAGTTACCTGATCTAAGGAACTACAAGTAGATAAAAATGATTGAACACTGTTAGTGTTAAAAGGAAAACAAAACAAACCCAGAACTATGTACTTTTAAAATATAAATGTTATAAAAGTCAAAGAAAGACTACGGAAATGTTCCAGATAGAAGAAAAATAACCAAAACACCACCGTCATAGAGGTGATTGGACCTAGAGAGCCCCTTGGGTGGCAGGGGAGAACTGCCCACAGTGATTCCAAGGCTGTCAATCTTGATGGAATCAGAGGGCTTCAGCTTTCTTCCATGGAGGATCTGGTGGATTCAAACAGCTGACCTTCTGGTTATAACGCAATGCCTTAACCATTGTGCCAAAGAGTTTTTTGAAGGAAAGTAAAGTGACATAAAAATTAAATACCTTCCTGGACTGGAATCTACAACAGAGAGGAAAAAAGTACTGCTATGAGGACAATACTGCACTGCATATATATCAAGCAATAGCATTAAGTTAATTGAAGTAGGTAACCACCCGTGTTGTAACAAATAGGTCTGCCTTGGAGAGAGTGAAACCAAGTTTCGTCTTGGAGGCAAGGATTTTGAAGCTCTGTCTCACATACTTTGGGTGCGTGGCCAGGAGGGACTGATCCTTGGAGAATGACATCATGCTCAGAAGGGTAAAGGGACAGCGCAGGAGAGGGAGACCCTGGATGGGATGGATTGATACAGTAACTGTATAGTTGCTGTACTTAAGGCTGCTATGAGTCCCAGGTGACTCAAAGGCACAGATTACTGGTGATACAAAAAAGTCTGTACCTGACTACCTAACCTAAAGGTAGGAGGTTCAAACCCATCTGACAATACCTTTGAAAAAAGGCCTGCTTTCAAAACTTTTACAACCAAGCAAACCCTCAAAAGCAGACTACTCTATAGCACCTGTGGTTTGGGGAATATCCTCCTCAAAGAGAGCATGAGGAGAAAACAAAGGACAAAGCAAATGAGGTAAAATGTTAACATGAGGCGAATCTGCATAAAGGGGATACCGTGTGTGCTTTCATGCTTTTCTATTGTTTTTCCAGTTTAATGTAAATTCAAAAGCCACCTGTATTTTTCCTCTCACAAACGTGGTGATATCATTCTCATTCTCAAAGATGGAGAGTGTCTGCAGCAGATTCTGCTCGAGCCATTCCCAGTGCTCCGTGATTTCTTTCCTGGAACCACCTAAAGGCATGTAAAAATACACATCAGAATTCATGAGACAGAGATTACCAACCCAGGCGCACTTCATCACGAGCTAGTACCATCAAAGGCTGCTACTGTTCCAACAGCTCTGCCTTTAAATATAGTTCCTCTCTGAGGAGAGGTTACTACTGTACACAGAAAACACCTGAGGCTGTGGAAACTGACAGTAAATATTGTTATAGTCATGTCTGACCGAGTCAGTCCACCACTGGCGGGGCACTTTTTCAGATGAGAATGCAGCAATGTTTTCTCCCATTCACTTTTCTGTGCTGGGAGTTTTTAGCATGACCCTTCTCTTTTCTCCCGCTCAGAATTAGCACTTTTCAGGCTTATACAGATTGTGTTACGATTCTAGGTTACAGTTGTTAAGTTGCATCAATATGAGAGCTTTGGGATGCCTCTGGAGATGTGCTGTAACCGCGTCCTATAATGGGCAAAAAATTATCCTCACTCGCTTCAATTATGAATGAGATGTGAAAATGGATTGTCTCCAGGGAGGAGCGTTCTGCCTGGCTCTCACCAGCTGCCTCAAAGTGTAAGGGATGAGCTCATCCCTGCAGCCTGCAACCAACACTCTACCTCTGGTCAGTAATGGCATAGATCCTTCACCTGGAAGCCTGTAAACTGAAACAAGGCCAGCCTTGCAGCATATATCACCATCATCCTGCTGCCTGCATACAAGTCCAGGACATGGCCAGGATGTGGTTATAAACAGTAGCATAAACTCTTAGCCCCTTTCTTTTTCTGGGCTGCTAATGTTTGCATGTCATTATTTATGTGCTGTTGAGTTGCTTGCACCTCATATCGACCCTATGTACAACAGCTCTGAACCCTGCTCTAACTTGTGCCAACCTTATTGTCTCTGACACACCTACCCCCATTACCCCAATCTCTGAATCAATCCATCTCGTCCAAGGTCTTCCTCTCTAAGACAAGGTTTATTATAAATAACCTATCTAGCTACAGAGAAGATCTGGTGATGTAGTGAGCTGCACTGCTAACCCAAAGGTGTACATCTCCACGGGTTATAATTCACCAACAGCTCTGCAGGAGAAAGATGGTCAATCTCCTCCTTGTGTGATTTACACTCTTTGAAAACCCACTGGAAGGTCAATGTTGAGTCAGTTCTGACTGCATGGCAATGAGAATGAGATCCAACCGATAAACACACTGCTCGTTCCAGAATTAGAGAATGATTTTGTGATTCTTTGGATTTATCCTGCAAGAATCTCCTTAGATTTTCAAGTTATCTTTAAATTGATTTCTTAAAAGCCTCTTTATCTTTCTGTTCCTTGTCACCAGTGATTCAAGATATCTCAAAATCTAACTTTGATTTCTAACAGAGAAAGCCAGGTGGTACAAATGTTATCTATACATAAATGGAATTATACTCAGAACTGATTTAGAAACTCGAAGTTAGCTTTCGGGGGTTTCAGGTCGACTTTTCTAGGAAGAAGTGAAACAAAGTAAAATAAAACTCAAGCTTACTTTCTATACATTTTTTTTAATCTCAACATTAAACAACAAAATTGGCTTTGTGGAATGTTGAGCAGAGAGAGGATGAGAAGTAGATTTCTTACTAAAGAGATAACCAAGTGACACTGAAGAATCAATCGTCTGAATCTCTTCATTGACGTTTTATAGGATATTGTTGGCATACACAAGAGGGCAGTGATCTGTGAACGTGTGGTTGGGATTAGTTATGGAATGACCTGTGTCCCCAGAAAATTATATGAAAATCCTAACACCTATATCAGTATTCTAATATTGTCCATAGGGCTTTCAAAGTCTGTTCTGTCAGAAGTGAACAGTTAGTTCTGCTTGTTAGTCTATCTTAGTTTTGAAGTTCTGCTCTAGTCTGTTTATTAAGGTTTTCTATCCTATTGGTATAAGAAACACAAGTAAGAGCTGACCTCACTTACTTTGGGCATATTTTAAGATGAACCAGTCCTTGGAGAGAGGGAGCATGCTGGAAAAGTCAGAAGCAACTCATAGCTTACCCTCCAGCAGTTTTTTGGAGGCTGTAAGTTGCATGGGAGGAGACTGTCCATCTTTCTCCAGTTAAGCAACTGGTGGATTCAGATCACCCTAAAAACTATTGATTAGGAACCTCTAAAAGCAACTGAAGTCTTCTCTTCCTGTAAACACTACCACCACCGATAGAACCCTGTACAGAGTAAATGCCAACTGCATGTTCGCAGATCACTGCCCTCCTGTGTGTGCCAGCAATAGCCTATGCACTGCCCCTTATGAGGCACTCCTAGGGACATATAGGCTAAGTGCTTAAAGAGCAGTCAATACAATTTCTAACCTGCTTTTGCCGCTTATCTGTTCTGCCTAAGATGTGCCCTCTGGATGCTGATATTCACAGATTCCTTGTCTATAACCAGGACATTCTAGTCCCTGACTGGCACCTCGCCCAGGCTCTGCTCTGTACAAGGTAGGTAGTCAGGCTGAGTACTTGATTGTGGACACCCTGTTACATTGGTTGTGGAACACAACCCACCCTCAACAAGGTTTGTCCTTGATGGAAAAGCACATTAAGTGACAGTCTGAGGCAGAACAGGTATGCTTTCAGCATCAGATATGCTGCCTGCAAAGCATTCTTTATGCATACACAGAATCAGACATACCTCACACACATACACACACCACACCTCAACAGAAATTGTGTGTTGCATGCATGTGGTAGTCAACAAATATTTGCACGTGACTATCTAAACTAGGAGAGGCTATTCCTTGGAAAGGGATATCATTCTTGGAAAGGTGGCAGGTCGAAGAGACAGGAAATCCCCAACATGACCCCTGACAGTGACTGAAACAATGGGTTTAAGTGTACAGAGATGGTGAGGACGGCAGAGGAAAGGACAGGACCACTATGAGTTGTACTTGACTCCCTGGTGCCTAACAAAATAATTAGCCAATTAGGATGCTCTAGGCGGCCTATTCATAGGGAGTTCAGTGGCTAACCCAAAACCTGTGCATCTCTAGTGTTTCAAATCCACCACCAGCTCCATGTGAGAAAGACAGGCAATCTCCTCCAGCCTCTGAAACCAGCTGGAAGTTCAGCTATGAGTCAGTTCCAACTCAATGGCAACAAATTTTGTTAACAATTAATGTCCTCAGACACTCCAGATAAAAAATCAAGCAATGTATTACATTTTGCAAATGTACCACAAAGGACCTCTTGGAAGTTTTAAAAAGCAAAGATGTTACTTAGAATGACTAAAATGTGTCTCACCATAATCTCTTTAATAGCATCATATACAGAAAGCTGGACAATGACTAGGGATGACAGAAAGAGAATTGATGCTTTTAAGCTGTGGTGCTGGAGAAGAGTATTAAATATACCATGGACAGCTAGGAAAACAAAGTGATTTGTCCTAGAGAGGATGAGACCAGGCTGCTCCTTGGAGGCAAGGATTCTGAGGCTTTCTCTGTCATACTTTGGACATGTTGCAAGGAGGGAGCAGTCCTTGGAGAGGATATCATGCTTGGGAGGGTGGAGGGACAGTGCAAGTGAGGAAGACCCTTGATGAGATGGAATGATTCCATAACTGAGGTAATGGGGGTAGGTAGGTGTGTCAAAGACAGTAAGACTGGCACAGGACAGAGGAGAGTTTAGGGCTGTTGTACACAGGGTCACTATCAGTTGGAGGCGACTTGACAGCACATAACAACAACAATAACATATACATGTAAAAGCTGAACACGGAAAAAGACAGAAGATGAACTGATGGCTTTAAACTGAGGCTTTGGTAACAACTAATGAACAGACTACGAACAAACAAATGAGTCTTAAATACAACTAGAATGTTTCTCGAAGCTAGAGTACAGCAAGACTTCCTCCTGCTTACTTTGGCCACATCCTCAGGAAAGACCAATGGCTAGAAGACATCAGGTTCGGTAAAGAAGAGTGCCAGCAAAAATGGGAGAATGTCTCAGTGGCATGGACTGACACAACAGCTGACAGAGTGGACTCAAGCACACCAACCATGATGAAGGTGGAGCATGGCCAGGCAATGTTTTGTTCTGTTATATATATGGTAATCATGAATTGGAGCTAGCTCAATGGAACAGTAACATTATCACTGGCATTATATGAAGATTCACATGGTTACCCCTCCCCACACTTTGCACTTTCACAGCTATCTGGGCATTCCTGGGGTATAGTATGGAAATGTATGCTCATCTCATCTTGTTTCCCTGAATATTGTCATCTCTGCTGCCGTTAGACATCCTGTTCTCTACCCTGTTTCTGTTGCTTTTGTATACCACTGAGTTGGAATCAACCCATAGCTGAACCTCCAGAAGGTTTTCAGAGGCTGTGAACTGCAAAGGAGTAGGCTGTCTGTCTTGCTCTGCAGAGTAGCTGTACCTCTGCACCGGCATTGCAGTCTCTTACCTTTAGGCCACAAGAGCTCCCTAAAGATTTACAACAACTCTGTCCAACTGTGCATCATTTCCACAATTCCCACCTTCTACCATCTATCACTATTTTCACCTCTCTTTACATTTCTAAATTCAATTGCCAACAGTGGCTCCAATCCTAAAATGCTGTTTCTCTTCTGTTCTCCATCTTCCTGCTCTTATATTTCTTGACTTCTCATTAAAAGGCTAGCCTTTTAGAGTTATCACCAGTCACTCCCTGCTCCTGTGCACAAAAGACTGGATTCCAGTTAAGGACCTTGTATACCATTATACGGCAGTGTTATCACTTCCTAAACCACATGCCTCTGGAAACTTTATAAACATAGAGCAACGATGATAGTTATAGAACAAGCTTCAGGTCTTTTGACTCAATGGCAGTTAACAACAACAACAAAAGAAGAAAGGGAGACTGAGAAAGGCAGTCCTACTCTGAAAGGTGGGCTCTCTTGTTTTTGTAGAGGGTCTGGTTGTATTTTTTTTAAGCCTCTTGTTTAGAGTCAACAACATCTACTGGAGGGCCTTTGTATTTAAAAGTTGGTTGGGGCCTT